CTCACCAGGCTCTCAAGCAATCTGGAGTAGGATATGAAAAATTATGGATTCTAGGACAGATTAAATTTGTCCATTTAATAAAATTATTCTAATTTCTATTCTTCAATGATTGTAGAATCAAATCTGTAAGCTTTTTTGTAGAAAATGAGTAAGCTTTAAGAAGATTAATAAAATATACGTCTTTAGATTTACGCAAATATTTGATATTTAAAACAAAACTATCTGTTTCAATTTTTTCGTGAATTTATATTTTTACTTTTTGGTGACAAAAATCAAAATTAAGATAGTTTTAACTAAAACATCATCGTAGTTATATTAGAATCTTACACATATATACCATAATATTATAAAAAGGTAAAGTTTGTGAGTTTGTGACGTTTTAGGTGGTAATCTCTGGATCTACAGACCCTATTTAGATGAAATCTAGTAAGAAGATAGTTCGAGACCCTGGGAAGGACATAAGATACTTTTTATCCCGAAAATTACCCCTTACGGGGGTGAAAATGGGGATGAAAGTTTGTATTGGGAAGCAAGCTAGTCATAAATAAAATTGAAATAATTTTATAAGAAAAAGCTCGACACTAAGTAATACCGCAAGTAAACGACAGCCGAAACAGTTTCAAAATTTATTTACCTTTGTATTTGTGATTTTATTAAAATCTCTATTAAAAATAAAAATCTATTTGTATTTTTTACCTACAACAAAAATTAGAACCTAAAAGACAAGATTCTGAATCATAGGTAATATAAAATCTAGTTTATACCGAAAAATAATTTAAACTTTAACTATTCTATCTCAAATGAGGGTACATTTCGTCGATAGAAGTCATGAATGTAACTTTAAATTATAGTAGCGCATGGTGGCGAACAAACAGTTCCGTTATTGCTGATCAGTCGCTGGCAGTCCGCCAGTCCGCCACATACACGCAGCACGGGACATGCCCTTACATGTCATCAAATATTGATTTTCTAAGATCAATGATTATCACATGAATATAATCTAGCCTTAGTATACTTATTATAAAGAGGAAACGTTTTTTTGTTTGCTTGTTTGTACTGAATAAGCTCCGAAACTACTCGACCGATTTAGATGAAATTTAGTAAGTAGATAGTTTGAGACCTTGGGAAGGACATAGTTTTAATCCCCAAAATCGTCCCTTACGGGGGTGAAAATGGGGATGACACTTTGTATGGGGAATTAACCTAGGGATGAACCCGAGCGAAGCGAGAGTGAGTCGCTCGTATTTAATATACATAATTAATAATATATAAAGCTAATACTTTATTTGTTTGTTTGAACGCGCTGATATCTGAATCTCCTGGTCCAATTTGAAAAACAGTTTTTGCGTTTTATAACCTTATTGAATGCTATTTTATATCACTACGACCTACAATAACAAATCTACAAAATTAAACAAAGCATGTGGAGCCGCGAGAAAACGCTAATGGTATACGAGTACATTAGCGTTTTCTCGCGGAGTATACACGATCTTTTTTGGTTGTTATAAGTATTGTTAATTCATGAAATAATTTAGGTAATTATTTATTATACATGGCTCTAGGATTGTACTATGAAGTTGTTACCACTAAGTGCATCGGAAGATATTTTATTTCTTCACTCTAATGACTAGACATAAAAAAATAGTGAAAGTGAATGAGAATAGAATATAAAAAAATCACAAAAAACTATTATATTCTAATACAATTCCATATGAGATCTAATGTATCGTAAAATTAGTACGATTCATATTTATGTAAATAATTAAATAAATAATATATCAAAACACGTATACATAATAAATAAATATATTGGGACATTGGCATGGACACACAGCACCATTTAGTTCCATGGTAAGCTATGAGGCTTGTGTTATGGATACCAGATATTCGATACACTACAAATATATAACTTTAAGTGCATATATATTACAAATATGTATATCCGTGACTGGAGTACAAACATTCGTGATCATCACACAAATGAATGCCCCCAGCTGGACTCGAACCCGCGACCGCTGGCACAGCAAGTAAGGTCACTACAAACAGCCAAGTGTGCCGAAAAAATGTACAATCGTATAACATGTGCAAGCGTACATATGCAAGATTAAATAGTTAAATTAGCTTCTAAAACAAAAAGTTTAACTAGACATTTAATAGGTTTCGCTAATTACTCCACAAACCACATTCAAATAGACCATGTTGGCCGTACAGTGATGGACGGTAGCTCGTTCCCTCTGAGTTCGAACTATTCATCTTCTTTAAACTTTGGCGAGTGTCTTAGAATTTGAAAATCGATTTACTTTTGCTATCCTTTAATATTTTTAGGAAATTGGATGGGAAGTGTTAATATCTTATTATTTTTTATTGTGATTCGCTTTTGTCGTATAATATATATATTTTGTATGTTGTAAGGCGGAGTTGATGTTGAAACTGACCCCGGCATAAAAAGTTGTTGATGGTTTTGATTTTCAATGGTAGATTTCTTATATCATAACGCTTTTTCTTCATTAAAATTCATGGTACTATATTTCAAAACTTCATTCCAATTAGCTCAGCTTTTTAATAGTAAAAAACAAACACCTAAACATATTATATGCACAGCAGGTTCATTATTTAATGTCTTTAATGTTCTTCCACAAATCCTCACCTAAAAGCGCTTTAGCACTTCACTAAATTATCAAACACGTGCCACTTTTCAAGTACTCCCAAATAGTCTAGACTGTAGTGTTAGGATTTAGTGTTTACCGTATTAGCAAGTATTTAGTTTACGACGTATCTACGAGTACGTATTGTATAAATGATAGAAGTTACTATCATTAATATATGAACAATTAATTAATACATAATAACAATTTAATAAATGCACTTGTTGGACGACTTCTTTGAATTACGTTTTAATTAAAACTTATATCAACTTCAAATAACACAATAAGCTAAAATATAAGTAGCCGACTTGAAAAAAGATAAGATTAGAAATTCCATGATCCTATAATATTATTTAAATTTGAGGAAGATACACACTGAATTGTTTTGTCTTTGCCAAATTATATATTAATATTTCAATCCCTTTCTAGTTTGAACGATACAAAAACTTTTAGAACTCAACGTATGCAGTCTTAAATTATTGAGTAATTAATTCTTTGCAGAAATAACCAAATCTACAGTACTTAAATACGTCAGACATTGTTCAATTAATAATAATTGTACACCAGACCGTTAAATTATGTTAGCTCTTGTATGACGGCTCGTTTCAAACTTTCACTGATGAAAGCTAGCAAAATGCATAAAAGGACACTCTTGGCTTGTATATATTATATAAGTTTTATCTTCATCATAGTTTTATTGCAATTTGCCATATTATTTGCTCGATTATTATTGTTGTATTGTTAAATTAAAATTTGTAAAGGAGAAGTAAATCCTCTGTAAATCCTAGACATTTAACAAAAACCAGAACCTTAGAGTATTCATAAGCTATAAAGCGCGCACTACCAACTATGAACTGTAAGCACGGGTATGAACAGTCTCGAAATGTCAAGGGCGACGCTATTAGTCACGAAAAGTCAATCGCGCTGACTGTTTCTCCTGTCGGTATTTATTTGAATTTATGTAATCATGGTGAAATGTGCAGTTCCAAGCTGTAAAATTGATCCACGAAAGCAAACTGAAACGAACAAAGATATGTCTTTTCATCGATAAATAATAATTTAATCAGAAAACGCTAATCTATAATTTTAACAAAATTACACAGGCGTGAGCGGGCGTTGCGGGAGGCGCGCGGGCGGGTCAACACAACACGTGCTTCCGTGCCCCCCGCTTCTTAGTTTCCTCATTAAGAGCTAGTGTTGTACCACGTTGTACTACTCGAATATTTTGTATAATCATAGTATTATAAATTAAGATCCTTTGTATTTGTCAAAAATAAAGCCTTTAAATTTTAATGGCACCAAAGTACCTTACAATATTACTCAATTTTAATTTTAAAAATTTTGATAATTTTAATAAGTTTTATAATTGCATAGAATATTATTTATTTCATTTTAGCTGAACTATTATTATAATTATAACATTTTTTTTTAGAAAACTTTATTAATTAGTCATCTTATTAAGTGTTGTCATTATTATATTTATAAATATAAAAAAAATTCAAGACACATTATTGTTCTATGTGAAATTAAAAAAAAAAATTAAAATTAATTAAGAATAATAATTATATAATAATTACATTACGGGATTTAAACGCGTGAATTCACCTTTAATTCCCGTAATTTGCGTTTAAGTCCCGTAGTGTTAATATTATATAACTATGGAACGCGAAAAGTCACAGAGAATAATATATAATTTTAATTTAGTTTACCATTATTTAATAAAATCAGAATATTAAGCAACACTATTACTACATAGATTTACAAATGAAAGATATTAATTTGAAATACTGTAATTTTAGATAATAAAGTCTATATGTGCGTGAATAAATAAATATGTTAAATAGTTTATGTTAATATACATCTTTTTTATTAAATTCTAAAAGTTTTACTAAACGCATCACTATTCAACCGCTTCACCTACATGTATGATGTATGTATCAATAGGTGTGTATAGAACATCTGCTTACGTTTCGCATATTGGACAATGTGCGATTCGCGCGCTCTATAGCATATGTATATGTATATATACTCTAAGATCAGAACCCTAAAATATATACATTAAAAACTTAATTGAAAATTTAAAGAAAAAGTCGCTTTAAATTTCAACTTTATAAATAGGGGCAGAAGACCATAACACAGTAATCTTATATACATATATGTATATTTACATTATTCTATCTTTATACGAACGGTCGGAACGCGAGTCATGACTACGTGCCTCGAGTTCGATAATCGGTATACACTCGGTACACAACAGTCGCGCAAGCGCCGCAGTGACGAACGGACGGTGTGATGGTTTTGTAAGCGTGCGATTTGTGAATATTTTATTGGAATTAGTACAAGTACTTAATTAATATGGCAAAGAGCAATTATAGACTATATTGTGCTGTTCTTGGTTGCTTGAATTCTTCAATAACGCACCCAAAGATAACATTTTTTAAATTACCTGGAAACGCCGAACGGTAAGACTATAAAATAATTTTCATATGCCTACTATGGTTCGTGCCAGAAAGATTGGCAATAAAGTTTATTGACCTCTCGTCAGTTGCTAAAAGCAAAGAAGTGTAACTTAAAAATTACTAACTTTGAAGACAAAATAAAAATTTATCATCGATTTTTACTACAATTTGAGATAGTACTTGTTTATTTTTCTCATTTTGTTAATCTCCATATAGTACTGTGTTTGGTGTTTGTGAAAATGGTATATAAAAACCTAAAAGTGTTTTATTTTAAACTTCATGTCTTGATTAGTAACAAATCAATTCTTATTGTAATGGTTATACTTCAAATAAATATATTTAAAGCATAATAACAAGTTACTTTTTACACTTACGAATTCTATTTCCTAATATGAATTAAACAAAACGCGAGTTATGACACTTCGTCTCTGTAATGTTATACATACAGCATTGTGACTCGGCCCTGTCCTTGAAATAATTACCTGCAGCCGCGCTGTACGTAACTACAGTATTTTAAATTCTGTCTATATGTACCTACTTGAGTTTCTTTCTAGTTTTGTAGTGTTAATATATATATATATTATATTTTTATTTAAAAAATATTATTAGTACATTTAATTAAAAAATCTTAAATTTATAAGGGTGGTATGTAATGTGAACTTTATAAATTTGAGATTGAAAAATATTTGCGCCTCGACTGAGACGTACGAAAAGCTTTATTGTTAAGCTTAATAGTATTAAAAATCCGCATTCGGATAAAAAGTTTATGTAAAAATACTTTAATTTTTATTTTTAATTTAATTAATTAATTTTTATTTTTAAAACATACGATGTCTCGATACTTTGTGTTTGACATTAGCGAAGTTACTGGAGGAATAAAATGTTCATTTTCGTATCTAATTATACGATCTGGCAGCCTCGCGCGGTTGTCTATCGAGTGTATACCGAGCGCGACGCGCGTAGGTATAACTCGATTTCCGACCGTTTGTATGAAGATGGAATACTGTATGTAACATTACCGTGACTTCGTCCCCAACTTTTTGTTACGTCAGATGACAGAGATGCATCACCTTCGGGCCGTCATTTTGTTCATTCATATTCGGATAGTGTTTGCGTGTGTACGTTCTCGAATTATTCATAAAGTTCTTACGTTTTTGTTGAATTTTAGCTGTTGGCTTTGTTCTAATTGTTGTAATTGTGTCGCTGCAATAGATAGAACTGCTGACAGATTCATATATAATTAATGTCACAGGCAGCTCGTCTGATTCAGAAAGCACCATAGACAGTGAAGAAGAATTATCTAAGTTGTGACAATATGTAGTATACCTAAATGTATGTTATTAAATAAAAGATATTTAATTATATTTTTATTCTATTATTTTATGGTCTAAATCATCATCATTATTATCATCATTGACTCGAGATTGATTCATCATTAGCTCAGTTTTTTTAAAGCTATCAGTATCCTTCAAATTGGAACACAGTAATGTTTCGGTACTCACTTAACACACTACTGCTTGGGTGCAGAATATTTCATATTCCGGTGGCAGGTTTGTTATCCCTGTCTGAACAAACGTAAGGTTAAGGCAATTTATTGCTAATCTTTTTGGCGCGAACCATAGTAAGTAATTTGTTTCTTTTTTTAATAGGTAGGGTTTACGCTTTTGTAATTCCGTAATAAGCAATTTTGTATGAAGAGTCATTGCATTTAAAAATAATCAGGCACTTCGCTATATATGATCTTTTTTTTGTATAATCATCTCACTTGCGATTAAAGCCCCTAACCGACCTGTTTTTTTTTTAAATTCCATCGACACATGATCACACATGATTACTTAAATTAATTTACAGACCTCTAATCCTCTTCAGGTAGGTATTTCGCTTTTGCCACCGACTAAAGTACCTAGATTAATAAATAAATAAATAAGTGGATAGCTAACAATCTTCGCTCATGTTACAAAAAAACTAGTAGGTAGTTTTCTACTTTCTTATGTACTTAGCTACTTAAAATTATATTATTGAATTAAACGAAATATCATTATAAAATTATTATGAGAGTAATAAATAGAACCTAGGTATCTGCCTAGTTAGATTTACATTATAATTTACTTTTTAAATAAGATTTTGTAACTATCTACGTTAGAGGTTGTGATTGCTGTAGGTAGCGTACACGCGATGAGGTGATTTATATTACTAGTAAGTTACATTTGCAGCGGTTCGAGATCGGATAGATGACAAAAAAAATGTTATACCTATTGAGTTGCTCCGTGCTATAGGTAATGGACGGTAATAAGCGGAGATGAAAAAAGATATTATAATTACTCGTTAGCTTCTTGCATTTTGGTTGTGTGTTGTGTAGGCGAAGAAGTTTTTTTTACACAGAATAAATCGAAATCTTTTTTTTCAGACGCCTTGAATGGCTGCAACTGATCTGTCGAAATGATTTAGAAAACAAACCTAATTTTGCTGCCTACCGGATTTGTGAAACACATTTTAATGTGGAGGATATACGACAATCATCAAATCGAAAACTTTTAAAAAATAATGCCCTTCCATTATTGATGCTGCCAAGCTTACCAAGTACCGTTCCAGGAAGTTATCGGAAAGAAGACAAACAAACTCAAACGGCTCTGTTGACTGTAGTTGAAAATGGTACACAGACTGAAAATGCAGCGAATGAAAGTTATGCTCAAACCTCAACCAGTCTCTCTTCCAACACTCCAAGGAAAAGAAAATTGAAGCCTGAAATCCTCCAATGCAGAAAGAAAATAAAACTACAGGAAACTGAAAATAAAACACAAAAAGCAGAAGAAAGTACTTTCCATCAACTTTGCGATAAATTTTTGAACAATAAACTAGTTCTCCTAATAAAAGCACAAAGTACCTTAAAGCAACATGGAAAAGGATATCGATACGACCAGGACTACATCACTTACTGCTTAAATTTATACTACATCGGCCCACAAGCTTACCGGTTCTTGCAAAGTGCATTATGTCTTCCCTGTCCTTCAACATTGTACAAACGTTCTTTCCCAATCACAACTGAAATTAATGAAAAAGCTATGTCTGTTCTTAAAATGAAAGTTGCACAAATGACAGAAGTAGAAAAGAATTGTTCAGTTATGATTGGTGCTACGTCATTAAAAACAAATCTATTCTTTAATATTAAAGAAGATAAAATTAACGGATTCCATGAGATTGAAGGATTGCAGTCTCCTGAACCAGCTAAAAATGCGTTAGTAATAATGATTCGTGGTATATTGGTGAACTGGAAACAGCCTGTAGCATACGCATTAATCTCAGAATGTCGAAACTATGATGTAATAAATAAATGGATTGATAAAGTACTACAAAAATTATTCGAAATTGGTCTTATCATCCGTATTTTTGTGTCCGACCAAGGTTCAGATTTATGGAAAGCTTCCAAAAAAAGAATAGTTTCTGTTGAAACACCTTATTTTTTTATTAATAATAGTAAAATATATTGTACTTTTGATGCACCGCATTTAATCAAAAACGTACGAAATGTCTTTATGAAATATGATTTTCACTTCGGAAATTCAATAGCGAAATACGATCATATTATACAGTTTTATAATCACGATAAAGAAAAGAGTTTCAGGCTTGCACCTAAGCTTACCAACAGCCATATCAAACCCACAAACTATGAAAAGATGAAGGTTTGCTTTGCAACACAACTTTTTAGTAGGTCCGTTGCAATAGGCATGTGTACGTATATAGATAATAACGAGATTGAAGAATCTGGCAGCGACACGGCTAACTTTTTATTGATGATGAATGATTTATTCGATTCTTTGAATACATCTAATTTGAGACATAGTTATGAATATAAAAGAGCGTATAGAGGTGATGAATCACAAAAGGCATTTTTCAAAAACATGATAAGCTTTTTTCAAGAGTTAAAGTTAATAAACCCAAAGAATGGCCGTGACCACACATCAAGTGTTAGATTCATTGAAGGTTTCCAAATTACTATCACATCCTTAATGCTCTTGTTTGATGACTTGCGGGTTGAAGGATATAATTTTCTTATGACAAGAAGATGTAATCAAGACGCTCTTGAAAATTTATTCAGACATATACGAACAAAAAATGGGATGGCTCTAAAACCGACGTGTAGACAATTTGCATCGGCATTTAAAAACTTATTCTTCTGCAACATCATGAAACCCCCAAAAGGAGGAAATTGTGCAGAGGATTTCGGAAAACTTCTTGTTCAAACGACTTGTGAAGAAGTTAATAGCTGTGTAATACCTGTACCAACTAACGAAATATCAAATAAAGATAATGAAGAATTTCGCAGCGTCCAAATTACTAGTTCTGATTATAATCAGCTAGACATGCCAGAAAAAAATTCGCTTTTTTATATTTGTGGGTATCTTCTTAAGCGTTGTTTGGAAAAACATGATGATTGTCAGGCTTTGAAGTCGTACGTTAAGCCCCATCAAAGAAGCCATAATTTCAGCGCAGAGACTCAGTGTTTAAGGTACTGGGCCTACAGTAAGAATAATTCACAAACTCTTTTAATAGTACCTAGTGATGATTTCATAGAATATGTAGAAAAAATGGAAGAAATATTCCGAACGTCATTTGAAACGAAACATATTATCAATTGTAAAGTAGCTGCAGGTATATATAACCAAGTGAAAGATATTCTTTTTTCTCCTCCTTGTCAATGTTTCCCAAAAGTGTTTTTAGTTAAACTTTTCATCCGAATGCGGATTTTTTATACTATTAAATTTAACAATAAAGCTTTCCGAACATCGCAGTCGAGGCCCAAACATTTTTCAGTCCCAAAATTATTAGGGTGATTTTGAGATTAAATCTATTAATCAAAAATTAAAACATGTATTTTTATTGAATACTTCAATATAAAAAATATAATATTTGCAATCGCAAAACTAGGAAGAAACTCAAGTAGGTAGATGAATTTAAAATACTGTAGGCGGGCAGCCCTGTATAACAATAACAAAGAAGAATGATGTGAAAATCATCATGTAAATAGAAAGACACCAAATGGAGGGTTGCTCAAATATTCATATATGCGTATTGAAATGCGAATATAGATACATATATTTTATACCATTGCATAGTATGTTTTAAAAGGTTTTAATTTAATACTTTTTTATGCTGTAATTAATCTGAATGATAAGAGATTTTATTGTCAAATGTGCGAACTTATCTTATTGTATCTTATTGCAGCAGATTTTTTTTAATTGACAAGCTGCGTTTTGGTGCTTTTGGTTAACATTAGTGCAACGCATAGATACGAGTGGAAGTTCATTGTATTCATATTACAATTGCAGTTAAGTATTATTTTTAATTTTTTTATTATTTTTGTTTTATCTATTATAAAAAGAAAATAATTGGAAAGTACACTTTACATATCTTAGTAAATTATACCCGAGAAAAACAAATTTTGTACAGAAAGCAACGTTAGCAAATAACAGTATATGTATATAAACTTCAGAATCTAACAAATTCTTCTAACGAAAATGGTCAAATGATTCAAAGAAATTCGAGTGAACGGGGATAACCTTATATAAATTTACTTATCGAGCCTTTCCGGACAGAACTTCAATTCAACTGAAAGGTTTTAAATATACATGTACCGCAAATCAGCTTAAGCCTTCTGTCGCAGCGTCCTTCTTATTGAAATGAGCTGATAAATATTTATTCGCAATAAAAGTCTTGTTTTTCGTTTTAACCAACATTTATTTCAATTCGATTTCATGCTGCATTAAAATAGATATTATGCAATAAATCATATTATAAAGACTCAATGGTTCTAAACTATATCTTTTCTAATTATAATTATTAATATTTTAAAAACAATTTCTCCTGACCGAATTCGGCCACGGCTGCCAATCTCACTGAAACTAGCCAGAAGATGTGCAGGAGATATTATAGTCCGCAACTCTGGGCTGTTACTGAGAATACCTTAATAGCCAAATTCAGTAATTGAACTTCAGCAATTCAGTTATCAAACATAACCCGACCCGGGACGCGAACCCAGGAGCTCTGGATCTATAGCCGTACATGCTAGCCACTAGACCACCGAGGCAGTATTGTGTAGTATTTCAATAAGAAAGTGTTGGCACGCACATTCATTTATGTTGGTCTCTGAAAATTAACATACATACATCTGACCAATGAGTTCACGTACACGATGCCTGTTGACAAAACCGTTTTTTTTTCTGGCACAAAAGGAATCTCCTCCTATGTAACAGTAGTACCTATAATAGCTCTGTTGTCTGAAGCTTTCACTTTGTAGGGATATTTATTCATGTAATAATATTGAGTTATAATGTTTTACATACGAGTACCAGGTGTCGATATTTTGTTTATAACAGTTATACTAGTGACTCACCCTTTCAAGCGATCCTGCACACCCCATTGCACTGCGGCGATGGATTCCGCTGTGGGTTTTAGTGAGTAGGAGTCTCACAGTACCCTGTCCATTGACGGCCGGCAGGGTCCCCATGATGGGTTTCCCCAGCGTCAAAAAAAAAAAAGTGACTCACCCTACGATACTAAATGTTACGTTTTAACATTTAGCATACAATTCTCAGAGATGAGATATTTTCCCGCAGTAAAAAGTATTCTATATGTTGAACTACATATTGGATAACCAGCTATCATCATACGAAATTTTATCAAAATCTGTCCAGTGATTTTTTCGTGATGCGGTAACAGACTGTCAGTCAAAAATTCTAAAAACTATAGATTCGGCCTCTGTATCGATATTAATCTCTACTTCAATAAGATTTTCCAAAAAATATTTAATGTATAGATTCGGCTTAGAAAAATTAAAAGCAATAAGATAAAAGTAAAAGCTCATATCAAATCCTATATTACTATTTGCGCTAGAATTAGATTTCATGATACTTTAAAAATATATCAAGTGTTACCACTATTTTTTGTTTCATAGCCAAATAACAAAAGCTAATACCTTTATCCTGTCCATTTTTTCATCTAATTTATCATCGTAATTTTGCTCGACAGTTAATGGCACAATATTATAGCTAAATGTCTTTTGTCAATTGCATCACACCAATATCTTGGATAATGTTTGGAATTATAAATATCTAGGTATATTTTATTTAGATTGCACAAACTTTGCACTATGTACCTACTCGTATGAAGATTTGACGTAACAATGTATGACGCTTTAGAAGATCTATTCAATTAAATATGCAATAGTTGTTTCCGGTTCTGATATAGATATTCGATGTTATGCGGCGCACAGAATCCAATAATTGAGCGTTTTCAGTCAAATCAAAGGGAGTTCACAGTCATCTCATCAATCCCTCCAATATGTACGCCGCACGCTGAATCCAATCCCCAGTGTGGAACTATTTGATTACTGCCTTGTATCTTGTATCATTTTTATAAAGATAATACTTTCATAGATTTACGCGAATATTTGACATTTTGAATAACAGTTTTCGGATTACTTCGCGGATTTATTATTTAGGGATCCAAAAATCATAACGTAGGTACAACTTTTGGTAAAGTATAATATTTGAAATTACTAATTCAAAACTTGATGAGAATTACTGAGATTGATTGAGGCTAAGAATAAATAAATACTCAAATATCAAAACATATGGCTTGGTTGTTTTTTTTTTTTAAATAGGGAGGATATTTTTACTAAGCTATTACCTAATGCGTGTCTGTTTACTTTTTATATTAGCTCGACTCTAGCAAATACTAATTACTAATGACAATACGTCTAACAAATACATACTTGTTTAAATTTCCAATGTTTTATATTTTTATATGGTATACCTAACCTGCACCTACCTAGCAGAACCTGCGGCTACGCTCGCATTCAATTTACATAAAAAACTCTTTGGCTTTATGTTATATAGCGACTCACCTTCGTTTTGTTGATACAAAAATACTAAAATCGCGATTAAAAAATGGGGGAGGGTGAAAAATACTTTGCGACCTATCTCACACATACCAAATATACAAAAAAAAAACGTCGCGCCGTTACGGAGGAGTGCGACCACAAACACCGTGACACGAGATATTTATATATTAGATATAATAGTATAATATAGTATACAAAAAGACTTCCTAGATTTATTTACATACCTTAAAACAAAAAAAAGATAATAATACGCGTGCTAATAACTGATAATAATAATTTCAGCTTATTTATTTATAATATAGATAAATAAATGTATGAATGTCATAAATAAATCTAATTGAGTTGTTTTAATGCATATACTGTACTATTTCATAAATAAATATTTTTAATCAATTTGGCTTATAATAATAACGTCCAATTATATAGCAAGTAAATTAATTTTGACAAGAGTACAATATAAATAGCCCCGGTTTCGTTGGGATGGATGGGAACCGGAACCCTTATAATTTTGTTACATCCGTCTGTCCGTATGTCAGTCTCGTAGTATCTATTTAACTCGGAGACTATTGTTGTTACTCGTACATTACTGTTCATGTGAAATGCCAGACAATTCGAATTACTACTAAAAATATAAAAATAGTGGAGGAGGCATGCTATATATGAGACTGAGGAGCATATCGATATAGCACCCAAACTAGATTTTTCTTTCTTTTTGGCAAATCCATTTGCGCCACCTTTTGGCAAATTTTATTACTAACAGTACTCTATATGTTATTCCAGGTCTAATTTACCTGCATACTAAATTTCATTCAAAGCTGTTCAGCTGTTTCAGCGTGAAAGTATATCAAGCATACATATGTATGTACACACAAATATACATACATACAAACTTTCATAGTTATTATATATCGTTGCCTGCCTGTAGCGATTGAAGAATATCTTTTTTCGAATCTCATAATAGCTTTTTAATTATTACCCTCTTAATTGTTAGATTGAGGTGTACAAAATCAAACTAGCCAACATGCATCGTCCAAAAATAGGCAAAAGTGTATTGGGTTTGATCGAGTCATGATCCACTTATTAAGAAATAATATTAATTTGTGTCATTTAAATAAAAACTAGCTTACGCCCGAGGCTCTAGTTTAAAAATAAATTATAATTATTGTAGGATTTGTTTTCATAAAATCAGGCATTTGTTAAAGCTCAGTTCATTATTAATTAAATCTATACATATAATAAAATTGTAATTAAGTCGAACCTGTACATTAAATATTATTTGGAAAATGTAATTGAAATAGACATTATTATCGATACAGAGACCGAATCTATAGTTTTTATAATTTTTGTCTGTCAGTCTATTACCGCATCACGAGAAAACCACTGGACAGATTTTGATGAAATTTGATATGACGATAGCTGGTTATCCGGGTCAACATATAGGATACTTTTTACCGCGGAAAAATTTCTCATTTCTGATATAAAATACAAAAACTGCATTGTAAGAGTATACTAATATGTAAAACCTAAGAATTTGGTTTTTGGTTATTTGAAAGCGGGCGGAGCTCGGAGCCGCGGGCAATGCTAGTAGTATAATATAATATGATACGAACATGAACGAATCAACCACTGGACCAGACATATAAGCGGACGTACCTTTAACGGTCATGTCAGTAACCAGGGAATTTTAGCCTAGGTCGTTTGTTTTTTGTGTCAGTCTCAAGCACTTACTTGTCAACAAAACATCTCCCAAAAATGACTAAATGTTCTGTTAAATGGTGTAAAAACTATAGCGGCGGAAGCAGCACTATTTCTTTTCACTTGTAAATACATTATTTTATTACATTTATTGTTATTTATCACAAAATTTAATTAAATGTAAAATAAAATGTCATATTATCCTACTATGTTAAATATAGTCGATTTTTCATGTATTGTTGACATCTGACAAACATCATAAACGGGCTGGATTATACCATTCAGAACAAATGACAAAACTGTCGAGTGAGTCGATTTGACATCGACTAGTGCTTGACAATGTCGAAAAATATATCGATATTTGACGAAATAACTGAACGAATTGTGTTATTTGTACAGTACAATAACATAAAATACTTTTATCACAGTATCCTACAATCTGATGACAATAAATTTATAAAAATATTTTCTAAATCAAATAAAAATATAAATGCAAAAATTATAATTAGTATGTGTACTTAATTTTTTATTTTATTTTATACCACATTTATATACTTTGGAATATTATTCCATTGTAATAATAATAAAGATTATTTTATTTCAACACATAAATTACACAAAATCAAACAATAATGTTTTAGCACTAAACTTCTGGGTTGGCGATTTGTAATAAAACACTTTACCACTTGCACTAATTATTTTACTTTCACGATCCAACACTCACTTTTTCACAATTTGCAATCACTTTTTCTTTTTCCTAATTTCACAAATGTTTATTAAGAACTGAGCAATATTAGGACAGTGTCACATTTTTATAACTACGCGAGACAATCAATTGCCAATTAAAATAGTTCAATGACAGAATCAACAAAATCACTTTATTTAATTAAATTAGCTTAATATTTTTTTAATC